GCTCCGTCCCAGCACCCCAGGATCATGACCTGAGCCGAAGGCAGATGCTTAACCGACTGAGCCACCCAGGTGCCCCCATAGTAAACTTTCAAAACAATTTATCAGAGATCACTCTTCTGCTTTCACGAAGATTATTTCAATTGCCTGGATGGCAGCAGTGTGTGGATGTAACTGATGAGCTAAGACTGGAGAAGGCCAGCTAGTGCTTGAAGGGTGAGTCCCAGTGGAATTAGAGGAACAAAAGTCAAGTCAGGGCACACATAGGAAGGGTAATAACTAGTGCACACTGAGGGTCACATGGAGCTTGAGCGAAAGGAATCAGGAAGATATCAGAGGGTAAGGTAATTATTAAGTGTGAAAAGAGAAACTGGCGGTGACTGATGATGCAGAATCACCCAGGTGAGGGACAGCAAGCCAGGGCAACCTCGATGCCTGAGACAATTATTTGTAATTGTGGGGTTTTTGTTTGTTTGTTTAGGAAACCCTGACAGACTAACCAGAGGCTGCAAGTAGAGAGAAATAGAAGCATTTGATGAAAGGGAAAGCAAAGGATAGAGAGATGTATATTCCTGACGTAGCTGCAAAGTTGGAGTGTCTTGGCATAAAGTTTTCAGCATCTTGCTCAGATTGTGCCTGTGTTCGCTGCTGGTGTTCTCGTCAGTAAAAACATGCAGGCTGCAGACATTCTGAAGTTTCCTGCAAGCTATCAGGGAATCCAAACTGTGTCAGATGTTTTTTGAATGCAGAAGTTGGACCCGTTGTCTTGTTGAATAAAAGGGAACCTGGTGATCGAAAAGCTATGTCTCATATCTCGTAAGAGTTTGGGCAACATATCCTCTCTCTGAAGCAAAGAGACTGATTTTCAGTTCACATATGGATTATGCATTACATCTGTTTAAAGAAGGAGAAGGAATGCTTGTCAAGACAGCAGTTTTTCAAAAGCAAATACCATTTTTCCCCTCAAAAATAACTCTAAACTCCCAACTCTAGCAAACAGAGAAATAGATTATAATCAGTTAGTTTCTAATAGGGAACTCTTCGTTTAGATCATTTGTGTAAACACATAGCCTGTGAGAATGTAGGTGATCTGCCTTTTTTTTACAAATGTCTTCAATTGGCCTCTTGGTCCCGCATCGATCATTTTGCATTCTGGGAAACATTTTAAAATATATAAATAGCCAACTTTTCTTTCTTATTTTTTTTTCCGTGTGGTTTTTCCAGGTGGGATTCATTTGATGTATAAAATCTAGGATTCACAACATACTTTTCCTCTGGAAACGAGTTGAAGACAAGCCAACCTTGTGCCATTTTTGTATGAATGAGTTATTCATTAATACATATTCCAATAAATATTTATTGATCACCCAAAAGTGTCAGGAATTGTTCCAGATGCTTGAGGTGTACTACTGAACAAAACACTTAGGATATCTGCCTTGATGGAGTTCACGTTCTGAAGAATGAGAATGACAGTAAACATAATAAACAAAAACCATTGTGAGGAAATGTATGATTATAATAGGCTAGAAGGTGATGATTACCTGATAATCTGAAGGAGGAGAGTCCAAGGCAGAGGAAGGCGCCGGTGCAAAGACTGGGCATGTCTGAGCAACAACAAGGAGGCTAGTGTGCCTGGAGTGGGATGAGCCCGGAGGAGAGTGGAAGGAGGAAAGAGGGAATGGAGGCAGGTCAGGTAGGACCCTGGGGGCCACTGTAAAGACTTTGACATTGACTTAGCAGGGAAGCTGTAAGCAGAGGAGTGACATGATCCAATGGGTCTTCTAAAGAATTCCTCTGACTCTTATACTGAGAATAGACTCTAGAGAGAGGAGGGTAGAACCAGGAAGACCAGATTGAGGTCTAATGCAATAATCCATGTGAGAAATGAAGGTCGCTTAGACCAGCGTAGTAGTGGTCAGATTCTGGGTATGTTCTGAAGGCAGGACCAATAGAATTTACTGATGGACTAGATGCAGCATATGGGAGAAGGTGATTCCAAAGCTGACTCATCAGGACAGACGGTGGTACCGGCAACTGATTTGGTGCCGGCTGTAGGAGAAACAGTTTTGAGGGACGGGGTAGGCATTCAGTTTTGGTCATGTTGAGGTTGAGACATATCTTCAACATCCAAGTGGGGTTGTTGAGCAGCATCTTGATATATATCTGGAGTGTGTATATATATATATATATATATATATAGAGAGAGAGAGAGAGAGAGAGAGAGAGAGAGAGAGGTATGTAGAGACCTGGACAGGAGACAGAAATTTGGGAATAGTCAGTTTATGGATGGCATTTTAAAGCCAAGAGACTCTAAGGGTAAGAAGTGTTTTTTGCAGTAATTCAATTCTGTTTTCTAAGACACTCAATGTTTAGAAATGATATGTCCACCTAGCCATGAGGTTACCAAACAATCGGTATTCATCTCACTACAACTAGGAATAGGACCAAGCAGGGAGAATAGCTCACCCCATCTGACATTGCACATTATTGTTGGTAATAAATTCCAATCCTCTTATTCCTGGGATGTTTTCACTAGACCTTGCTGTTTCAGCAATATCTTTTGGAAGAGGAGGCATATTAATAACAAGCTGGGGATGCCACTTATCTTGAGCCTGCTGAGGTCACAGCTGAGACTTGATGTAGACTGTTGGTGGAAATGTAGTAGTGCACGGGGAGGGTAGGTGGACCGTTGGAGCAGGCGGCAGGACTCAGATGTGGGCAGTCCAGTGATTGGCTCTGTCTTCAGCGGATGTGAGGAAGGCTGTGAAGGGCTCCAGGTCTCCAGAAGGGAAGAGCAAGGCAGGGCTTCAAGCTCTGAAAAAGGGCAGGGAAAGGGAGGTTTCACTGGTGAGTTACTATATGCATGATTGTTTGTTAAAGAGATAGATACACTGATAGATGGTAGATATATTTCTTTTCACTCTCACAGTGAATTGGATGGTATCATTCTTTTTGTAGATGAGGAATCTGAGCCAAGGTCACACACTGATCAGAGGTAGAGAGGTGAGATTGAGATTCAGGTTTGCCTCACCCCCTAACTCATAAAACTTGTACTTTTTTAGTTTCTTGGGAATAGTAACCATGGTAGAAGCATAAAGGAACGGAGAGGAGTCCACAGGGGCTATATTTGTGCATTTAACGCAGAATTGCTGCTGTCCCTGCTGGACTAGAGTGGAGTGGATTGAGAGGAGGTGGGTAAAAGCGGGGTCCCATGGGTCCACAGTGAGAACTGCAGGTTGGGTCTGATTTGCTGGAAAGGGCAGCCTAAGACACTTCCGTAGAGTCCAGAGGCTAGTATAGTTAATTTAACAGAAAGCAACTTCATTCCAAACCCCACTGGATAGGGACACAGAAGCTGTTTAAGCACTTCTTACCTTGGCCAGGATAACTCACTGAACCAAAGGGTGGAGGCAGCAGTAGAGCCGACGGTGCCCGGATCCCATCCCTTACCCGGGCTAGGGCTCCATCCACCATGCCGTAGGAGTCACCTCTCGGCCACCCTCAACCCTCTTCCTCTCTAATAACAGTGACACTGAGTCCTGCAGCTTTTACTTTCCTTTTCTTCAAATACTCCTCATGCATGTGAATAATCTGGAAAATAGTGTATTCAACAAGGGTTTGGTCATGTCACTTGGCTTCTGTGGCATTGGGAGTTGGGGAGGGTGTGGTGTGCAGGCAGAGAGAAGACAAGAGAGATGCTGGGTAATCAGCATCAAACATGTTAGATGATATCAGATGGTCCTGAACAAGGTTCTAAACCGCTCTGTGCCACAAATTCCTCATTTGTATCCTGGGAGTAATAATAGTACCCCTTTTATAGAAACGTTTTGATAATGAGATAATACATGTTAACTACTTAGCTCAGTGCCCAGCTGAGTGGTTTACGTGCTAGCGGTCAAGATATTAGCTATTATTAAAGAATGTGGAGGTGATTTACTCCAATATCCAGTGCTTTTGTGGGGGTAGCATGATGTCAGGCTGTTCTGTTGATCTACGAGCCTTGTTTTATGCTTTATAATGTGGACGCTTCAGACCCTTTAGCTCTATTCACTGGATTCCCTGGAGTTTAATTTAAACATTCTCATTGAAGTTAATGTGACTCTGGCCATTCTCCTAACTGCCACCGAGCATGATGACAGTCTTGTACTGTGCACTGCCAAAATAATACTACCTCTTCCTGGCTGCTTCCTACCAATGGCATCATCTTAATCTTATAAAACCAACGCAGGAGAAAATATTATGTCAAGGTGGAAATTATAATCATTATTTTAGGGTGGTGAGCAAGACAAAATTGTAAGAAGCCAAACCTGAGTCGCATACAGATACATTGTATTTGACCCTTTTTTCCCAGGAACATCCTGATTTTCTGGTTATGAAACCATTTGGACTCCTCTTGCAGACTTTGTTCTGGAACTTAAGGCATGCAGTGGTCTTCCTTCTTTGTTCTCAGAAGGAAAAAGACTAACTGTCTTCATGCAAATTAGTCTGCTTTTGTTGAAAAACTTCAGGGGATTCATCTATGAAATGTAGACACACAATTAGAAATACAGTGCAACTTACTGTTCTTCTTCCAGCCGATGTAAGATTGTTTCCCACAGTATGGAATACTTTAAAAAAAAAAGTGTTTAATCGCAATGCCAAAACTCCAGCAATGCCTTTGACTGCCTTCAGGGGTGGTGATGGAGGTGGGGAAGCTAGCTATTCAATACTACATTATTTTCAGATGATTTTGCATATAGCTGGGGAACGTGGAAATGAATGCAGGAAGATAGATCTAATGTACTAAATTTAGGACCAGCAATTACAGCTACTGGAGTTCTGAGCTTCTTTCTGCTCCTCTGCAATTCCTAATATAAAGAAAATACTAACTACCAATAGTATAAAAATAGTTTTTTAATAATGAGTAAAACTGTTTTGACAGTGTTTAACTCTTCAGAAATGTATCTCAGTATTCTGATTGTATTGATTGAGGTTTCTTTTCTTTTTCCCTTCCTGCATTTCAGTGACAATTTCAACAAGCACCTTCTTTGACGGCTTGCTGGTGACAGGACTATACACATCTACAAGTGTTCAGGCTTCACAGAGCATTGGAGGTTCTAATGCTTTTGGATTTGGTAAGCTGTCCTGACAATAGAAATCAGTAATTGTCAATGTTTAAACAATTACAGGTCTTGTTTTTTGAAACATCTGTTTTAAAAGGATCAGACATTGATGACTTCAGAGAAACTAATCTGAAGTGTTTTTTGTGTTGTTTGCTTGAAATTAGGTGAATTGAAATAAGTCATGTGAATGTACAGCCAACCACAAGCTTGGTGTGACAATCTTTCTCTCCCTCTCTGTCTATTGACGCTATTATACTTGGTCTTGGGGAATCAGGTAGATTTCTATGTTCTGTCATTTAGGTTGCTGGAATTGGAATTTACTCCGATGCCCATGCAATTATTCCATAACCTGTTTTTTTAAAGTTTTATTATTATTGTTTTTAAATGAACTCTACCTCCAATGTGGGGCTCGAACTCATGACCCTGAGATCAAGAGTTGCATGCTGTGCTGACTGAGCCAGCCAGGTGCCCCTCAACAAGCTGTTTTTATAAACAGTTCTTACGATCCTGGATTAGGTGAAAAATGTCACGTCAAGTTTGGCAAGGAAGCCTTGCACAAAGTGGAAGGTAGTAATGATTGTTAAAATGATTGAATTCTATGAGTATTCATGAAAGAATGTGTTTTAATATTTAATGCCCTTACATGGAGTCCTTGTCCTTGAATCAGAGACTTGGCAGGTTACTTAAATGGGGAAGCAGAAGGCTACATGATTGTTACTGAGCCCAGAGGATTCTCAATTTTGAAATCCCTGGTTTACCCATTATGCGGTAAACATGCCAAGCTGGAATTAAATAGTCCCTTTTCAGCATCAAAAATGCAAATTTAATATCTCCGTTTATATAAGACATGAAATCACTGATCTTACTTTGAAATTGGAAAACTGCACAAGACTCCCTACATTGATATGAAAAAGATAGAATTGCCTTATTAGAGTCAGCCATGTGTTCAGCGTTTTATCTTTTCTGGGCTATTTATTAAATAGATAATTTTTACCTACTTTTGATAAATAATAGGACACCTCCTCTGCACCAAGTCCTAGCAATAGCTGTGTCCAGGTGACTCATTGATTGATGTCAGAGCAGTCCTGCTGATGCCCCATTGTCACCCTGCCGGCCCAATACGAGACTCACAGCCTCGCGGCTTCACGGAACCTGGAAGTCATTTAATCCTCACTTTAAATTATTTGACATTGAGAATTTGCCCTATTTTTAAAAGATCTCCGATAAGCTTTTACAATGTGTTAGTAACTATTTCTAAGTTCTAATCCTCAAGAAAAAAATATTCTTCGGTCTAAAAATTCCACTTATTTAGCCCCATCCTTTTTTTGCTCTGCAGCAGTGAAAGGTCAGCTTACGTTCCTATCGACGTACATAATATATATGATGTGCTACCTATTACGTTACAACAGGACTCACAAGCAGGGTTGCCACATTTAACAAATAAAAATGTGAAGGCCATCTGGTTAAATTTGGCTTTTAGATAAACAATTTTTTTTCGTGAAAGAATACAGTATTTGGGATAAGGTGTTCTGGGTTCTCCCTTAGCAGAATTAAATCAAAACCTCAGGGAGTGGGGTGTGGGCATTGGTTGTTTTTAATGTCATTTCGGTTGCTGGATGGGGATGTTGCAATATTCATGCAGGGCTGAGAAGTGCTGTACTGGGTTGGTCCAGATCTGGTAGCAGCAGCCCCTGGAACCTGTCACTGCAGGGTTCCAGCCTGTCTCTAGACTCAGTGAGTCAGATATGCTGGGGGTGAGACCCAGTGACCACTTTCTAAGAAGCCGTCCTGGTGATTTGGGTACACACCAAAGTTTGAGGACCACTGGTCTACATTCATTAAATGGGAGAGATAGACATTATTTAACTGACCGTATACATAACATAATAGCAAATCTTGCTTAGAGGCAAGCTTTCAGAAGTCCTGAGTGCTTGAAAGGTTATGCCAGAGAAATGAGCTCTGGTTGGGAGTGAAATGGCATGGAGGTAGGAGAGGCTTTCCTAAGGAAGTGGTGTTGAGTGGAGATGTAAGTTTGATTTCCTCTTCTGTGAAAGGGGTTGGTAAGGCACCTGCTTTATAAGATTCGTGAGAATTAAAGGGGGTTATTTACATGAAGCCCTTTAACACATAGGAAACACTCAGTAAAACTAGGGATCCCATAATTTTCCTGATGACTGAAGCAGCTGCTTTCCCTAGCCCAGGAGTTGTATATACCTCCTTTGAGAGGCAAAAAAACAGTTTTTAGGAGGAATTAATCTGGGGTTTGTAGATCCAGATGATTCGAGAGGACTTGGCTGAATGAAATAGCTATCACCAGCCACACTGGAGCCTTTCCCTGAGAAAAATCATTAAATCTCATTTATAAGTATGTTGTAAACACATTTGGAAAGGACACATAAAATGCAGGTGTCATATTGCCTCTGATTTTTGCTAGGTAAGACAAACAAAAAACTAGGAATGCAATTGTTAGAAGTTATTTTTTTAATTAATTTTATTTCAGAGAGAGAGAGAGAGAGCAGGGGGAGGGGCAGAGGGAGAGGAAGAGAGAGAGAATCTCAAGCCGACTCCACACTGAGTGTGGAGCCTCGACTTGGGGACTTGACCGACTGAGCCACCCAGGTGGCCCAATTGTTAGGAGTTATTTGAGACACCTGGGCTTCTAGACATTTTCTCTGGTGACTTTGAAAGCTATAGAAAGGCAGTTTCACTTGAAATAGAATGTTTTTTGATTAGCTTAAATTGCAGTTAGTCTCCCCATCTCCATGAAGCCTGTATCATGAGGTTGATGGTCTGAAGAGGCTTCAAAACTTGAAGTCCACCCATGGTCTTTTGACTTCCGTAACCACAGCTCAGGCCTACCACCAATCGGCCTTTTTATAGGACATAATTTTTACATGGATGGATGGATAAGTGAGATCTTTTGTAAGTTCCAGTAATAGCCACATAAGTTTACATGGATTTATATGATAGTGGTAAATTCCTTTAAAAAATTTAATCATATACTTCAATATTATTAAACAGAGTTAATCTTTGGAAGTGATGTTTTTGAATAGAGAGTAGGAGATAGTTTAGATAAATGGTCACCTTAGAAAACAAAAGCACATTAATTTTTGGTATTTGACTTAAGTTTAATATATTCTTTACAATTTAAGAAAATGAAGATCTGAGTAGGGTGCAGATAAGAAAAGAGGAAACTCTTACAGAAGGTAAATTGTAAAAAGAATTGCTGCTTTTTGGTAGTTTAGTATTACAGTAGGATCAGGCTGAAAAAATGTGGCATTCTTTGATCTAGAACAAAAGAGTTATTGAATACGTAATCTATCATTAGGCTCTGACTTAATTGATGGAATGTTAAGCAAACTTGGTTTGTTTGGCATTTTCCCAACATAGCACAGGATTAGGGTGGGATATATTTAACTAACTGTGTTAAATAAGACAAAGTAAAACATCAAGTTGAGTCTAAAAAGGACTTCTGAAAGTTTTTTCCTTTTATAGTTAATTTTAATTGTACTAATTACATGAAAGTCATAGCCTGCTCCCTTTTAAATATAAAATGTGTGTGTGACCGGCCAAAATAAGACTAATTATTCTTAAGATACTGTTGTATAAGTGTATTTCCACTAACATAACTACAGCCTATTATGCAAAACCAGAATTCTTTAAAATGCATGCCTCACTGACCAAAAATAGACAAATGCCTAATAGCCAGAAATACATTAAAACAATAGCAATGCAAAAGCTGACTATATGCCAACAATGCGTGATTTGAAATACCTCATTTTGCTTGTCAATATAAGAAAACATGCTGCCCTAGGGAAGAGTGATGTTTAATTATGGATATCTCTTTGTGCATCCCAGAAGAAAAAAAAAATGCTTCCTCTTGTCTTTGGCATTGAATTCCAGCTCAATCATGTAAATCTTCAAGGCTCTTTGTGGTTGCTCAATGAAAGGCTATTTGAATAGCCTTTCATACAAAATTATTCCTTTTCCAGAGGCTGAGATGCATTTTACTCAATATTTAGTATTCTGGCTCTAAAAGCATTTTACTCAGTTTTTGGTATTCTAGCTCTAAAACTGGAGAACTGGGTTTGCAGGTCTGACGAGTAGCAGCCACACTTCAAATTGTTAGACCTTGCATAAATTAAATGTTTGTGCTTTGCCATTACTAGATCATTGTGCTCAGCTAATACATGAGCCATTTTAACAGTTTTTCATGTAAACTTTTGTAATTTTCTATATGTTTCCTTTCCTTTTCCTATAATAATGAGGCATTCTGGATCCAATCGTTTGTTAAATTACAAAATTCCTAAAATGGCAAGATTTGATGAAATCCAAGTTTGGGGAGAAAATACGGTGAATAGATCCAAGATTTTTTCTTTCATGTTTTTAATGAACATTAAGCAACTAACCTAAGAATTTAATATTTTCAATATTATTTTTAAAACATGGTAGAATTTTTAACTTAATAATCTGATTTGTTTTTCCACTGTAATCTGACACTCTAACTTTAGATGAATAGGGATATATTTATAAAACACATTATTTAAGTGTTTTAAGGTTTAAAAATTAGTAAACTTTGTGTTGGTCACTAGTTAATAAAAATGCATACTTTACCAGTAGATTTTGATTGTATGTTAATGTTTCATTGCCATGATGCAAATTTTTGTCACTACTTTGTTTTATTGTCATTAAAAATAAAAATACAAGCTTTGTTTAAGCTAAATTTTGGTTATCATTCACATTGAAACTAAGTAGAACCTTTTACAACTTCTACAATTTTACTAGTTGTCACTAGGAATGTAGATTCCTGGGCATTAAATACAGTTCAATCTTAGGTGTCCTATCCTTGTGCCTTTGAGACACACACATATGTTATACATACATATATTTAGGCTTTAAAAAAATATAAAGAGGGGACAGCCACTAGGAACTTCATTAAATAGGGTTCTCTATAGTAATGCTATTTATTTACTGGCCTAAATTAGGCTAAATTACTCAGAATGATCTTGTTA